TGGCAACCCGCTGCCACAGGGGCTGCAGCCTATGCCATGGCCGGCAACTCACAGCAGCCCAGCTCCAGGTTGAGCTATTGTTCAGCATCTTAGCTGTAGAGGGCAGTGTCACTGGCCCTCATATGTGGGATCCGAACCGGGGCACTCTGGCTTCCCAAGCCAGCTGTTAACCAACGTGCCACTCGGCCAGCCCTGAAGATTTCATTTTTTAAAAAAACAGCATCTATTGTTTAAAACTTTTAAGAAGCCATTGGCATGGAGCCTTTCAAACTGTTATCTTAAAACTCAGTTCAGTCTTCAGGGACTTCACCTGCCTACTCCATTTTCCTTACTCCTACAAGACTCAGCTCATTCTTACACACACACACCAACTCCCACACGTATGTGAGTTAGTGCATCTCTTCTGAGCTCGCGTAGCATCTTGTTTATTTTCTCTGATTGCCACTTGATTTTCTCATTTTTCAAATGAGAATGACAAAATTAACTTGAACCTGATTTCAAAGAGTAAATATGTAACAGCAGAGCTTGCCCGCGTTTCAGCGTCTCTGTAAGTTCGCTTCTGGTGAAGCTTAGCAATGTGTCTTCTCTCTCCTCCCCAATTATTAGGTAACCAATGGTCAAGGGGAAAATAAGATGAAAAATTTACCTGTGCCTGTCTATCTCAGACCTCTAGATGAAAAAGATGCATCAATGAAGGTAAATTAATTTTGAAGTTAAGGGAGATATGTCCTAAAATCTGGGTGAATTTTTTTTCTAAACCAAAAATGTTGAATTCTACTTTTGTGATCAGATTATTGTTTATTTTGTAGTTTTAGACTGGGATAACTTTTAATATTAAAGATCTATATTTATAATCATTGGCTTTTAAAGAAAATATGGAAAATTCTAAACATTTTTAGAGAGACAGTGACTTAATACCTTTTTTATCTTTTTTTCACTCAAAAGCTGTGGTGTGCTGTTGGAGTCAATTTATCTGGCGGGAAGACCAGAGATGGCGGATCTGTTGTTGGAGCAAGTGTTTTTTACAAGGATGTTGCTGGTCTGGATACAGAAGGCAGCCAACAGCGAAGTGCCTCTCAGAGTAGCTTAGACAAGCTGGACCAGGAACTTAAGGTACACACGTGCACAGACCCCTGACCTCCTGGGGTCTGAGGCTATTAGTTTAGCTCTTTGGTCCAAAACTTAACTTCTGGGCTCAACTTCTAATTATGATTATGATGCCTTTGCTTACTCCTCACCCTTTCTTTCTAAAATCAATTTTATTGAGATATATTTTACATACAATAAAGTGTATACTTGAAATGGGTACAGTTGAAAGTTTCAATAAATGTATACACATGTGTAACAACCATTACAATCAGGATATAGAACATTTTTGTCACCTGCCTGCTTTGACTGCTAGTTTTGAGTCTTCTAATTAATATGGAATGGTAGTTATATTTTTGGCCTTCCAAGTAATCAATCTGGAAATAAACTTGAAAGAGTATTGCCCTTGATTGTAATAGCACAGCCGTACAGATATTTACGCATACATCATTTTAAACACTCATTTTCCTTACTTTGCCTCTGCAGGAACAGCAGAAGGAGTTTAAAAATCAAGAAGAATTATCCTCTCTAGTCTGGATCTGTACCAGCACTCATTCAGCTACAAAAGTTATCATTATTGATGCTATTCAACCAGGCAACGTCCTAGACAGTTTCACTGTTTGCAACTCGCATGTTCTGTGTATAGCAAGTGTACCAGGTAAAGAGTGAGCACTGTCCCTCACTTCCCACGGTCCACCTCCTAGGTAGGACCTAATTCAAAATGAACTGGAAACAAATGACTAAGCAAAATATTTCCAGATATTGTGAAGAAAATAAAACAGTAGTAATATTAGAAGATGACTGGGAGGCAGAGGGCAAGGGAGTATTTAGGTTGATTGTTAAAGGAAGGCCTTCTAAAGTTTTGGATTAAATCTTATATGACATTAAAACATTGGTTTAAAAATTAAAGATGTTTGTAATATAGTCACAGTGGAATATTATTCAGCCATAAAAAGGAATTAAAACATTACGCTAAGTGAAATAAGCCACACACAAAAGGACAAGTATTATGTGATTCCACTTACATGAGGCTAATTCATAAAGACAGGTAGATCAGAGATCACCTGGGGCAGGCAGACGTGTTGGGGCTCGGGGAACAGTGTTATTGTTTAATGGGTACAGCTTTTCTGTTTAGGGTGATAGGGAAGTTTTAGACATAGGTAGTTTTGATGGCTGTACAACATTGTAAATGCCACTGAGTTTTACACTTAAAAATGGTTAAGATGGCAAGTTTTGTATTATGTGTATTTGACTACAATAAAATCTTTTAATGTAATAAGACTAAAAACAGCTTTATAAATTATAAGAACTGAAGAAGTTTATATTGGAAATGCTTAGTTTTTAAATATCTTACTAATATAAGGCACAGTACACATTTAGGGTGATTCATTTTTAAGATGGTGGACAGACGTTTGTATTTCAAATAGCAAACTTTTTGCCTAACTTGTCATATATAATTAGATTTCATTGTTTTTAACCTCGTTAGGTGGCTGCTCAGGACCTTATATTAAGAACAGAAGCACCGTTTCTGACATTTTCATGTTTGCTTATGCTTGTTTTAAAAGAAGTATTATCTTAGTTTTTTAAGTTAACTTTCCCATTTTGTGAAGATTACTTTAAATAAAATTTAAAGCTACCATTTTGTCAGTCTATTCAAAGAACCAGTGTCTCATTTGCACACACTTATTTCAAACCTATTGTGCTTTTATGGAGAAAATCTAATTGTATGAGTTTACTTAGCGTTAAAAGAAGGCTTATCTTGTTTTTCAGGAGCACGAGAAACAGACTACCCCGTGGGAGAAGAGCTTTCGGAGTCCGGACAGGTAGACAAAGCGTCTTTATGTGGAAGCGTGACAAGCACTAGCTCGGCAGAGATGGACAACCTATTGGGAGGCATCACGGTGGTTGGTTGTTCAGCAGAAGGTGTGACAGCAGCTGCCACTTCCCCTAGTACCAATGGTGCTTCTCCAGTGACGGAAAAACCACCAGGTATAGCTGTCCCCTTACATTCCATCTGTATAGAGTCTGAACCTATCCCATATGCCTCATTATGGACTTAATTTAGATCTTAAAGTAACTAGGATGAAAGATCTTAAAGATGTTGTAATGACTGTTAAATGAAATCGTGAATTTTTATTTTTTTTTAATCATGAATTCTTAATTTCATAATAGTATGGAGGAGGAAGGGGTAGGTGGAGAGAAATTCTTTAGTGAGGGTTTGTGTAAAGAAATTGTTGGTAGAAAAGTTCAAACTCAGAATGGTGAGCATGTTTTATTTATTTTTTAGAAAAGGAAGCAGAAAATAGTGAGGTTGATGAAAATGTCCCAACAGCAGAAGAAGCAACTGAAGCCACAGAAGGCAATGCAGGGTCAGCTGAAGACACCGTGGACACCTCCCAAACCGGCGTGTACACAGAGCATGTCTTTACAGATCCTTTGGGAGTTCAAATCCCAGAAGACCTCTCACCGGTGTATCAGTCAAGGTATACAAATGGGTCAGCAACTTCTGAAACCAGATAAGCACACACACAAAAGGAACCAAAATAGTCTGAAACAGCCACACTGTTCCCACTAATTGGCATTGTTGTGGCAGACTTAGATGTTATTACTTATTGCCACTCTGTCTTCATTTATTCCCTGCACTTCATTCTCTCTCGATATATTTTTTTCCCATTTGTCCTCTTTTGCCTCCAACTTAAAAGGAAAATCTTGTCTATAAAGTATATTAGTCAAAATTGCCCTGGTCATTTTCTTCTCTGGTATGATTTTTATTTTTTTCCCTGAATTGTTGTACTTACTGTCTTCCATTCTATTAATAACTTGACATTTTAATTCCTACCCCTACTCTCTCTCCCATTCTAGTTATAAAATTGGCCATTGTTTCAATTTCCCATGTGGGCTTGAATGACCTTTGTGAATTTAGTTTTCTGGCAAACATTTTATTAGAAAACAATTTGTTTTGGGCTCGTCCTTTAAAATTTGGTTAAGCTAGGCCCATTTAGTGAATTCTTTAATTTCTTTTCTTGCCTACTCTAGGCCTTATAAAGAATTCTTCTTCTTAGTGTGTGGAGCATCCAAGTGTCTATTAACATTTACTTGTTAGTTGGTCCGAAGGCTGTGGGTTATTGTTAAGCTGTCTATTAACATTTACTTGTTAATTAAGAATAGTCATCTCTTTAGAATTAGTACATTCATTTGTCTGTTTTGAATTTGATAGCCTGTTTATATCTTTTTAGTATATGTGTTCTGACAATCTAAAAGAAATACGGTTTGGGGGTAGAATGTAAGCATGTTTCAGCTTATTAATTAATGTATTTTTTATTTTTTTTAATTTTTCTTATTATTATTAGTTTCAGGTGTACAAAACAATGCAATAGTTTTCCTTTTCACCCCTCGCAAAGTTACAACTCCCTCCCCCTCAGCTTATTAATTTATTTTAGAAATTTTTTTATATTTTACCCTCGTGTGTGTGTGTTTTAAAACAAACCATGCCTCTTTCCTCCGAGAAGAAAATGAGAAAATTCAAAATAACTGTAAGAGGGCCGGCCGAGTGGTGCGATGGTTAAGAATTGGCTTGGGACGCCAGAGGGCCCCAGTTCAGATCCCACATATGAGGGCCAGTGACACTGCCCTCCACAGCTAAGATGCTGAACGACAGCTCAACCTGGAGCTGGGCTGCCGTGAGTCGCCGGCGACGGCGTAGGCTGCAGCCCCTATGGCAGTGGGTTCCCATGGGCTACTGTTTGTAGCCAGCAGCCAGCGTGAGCGGCCAGCGGCCGTCCAGAAGCCGGCGACTGATCTGCCTCACCCAGGAAGAGCGCAATGATAGTACCAACTTGGGCCAGTGAAGCAACGTCCTCCACAACTAGACTGAAGAACAAAACGACAGCAACTTGTCTGTTCCCCTTCCCCCAATTCCCCAGCACTGTTCCCATCCCCCCAATTCCCCAATAAAAATCTTTAAAAAAAAATAATAACTGTAAGAGAAAGCCATAATTATAGTCTGGATATTAGCTGCTAAATTTCATTATTATGTCTTAACTCCCTTATTTGCACCTTGGGCCTCCTAGTATGTTAATTTTATTTTTGGCATAATCGTTAAAATACTTAATGTAAACATTTAACTTTGGCTTTTCTGGAATTTTATTGTTTGAGCTTTTTTCTTAAATTATAAAGTAAAATATAGTAATGATCAATTCCTGAAAACTAACTGAGCACATTCAGATTTTTTCCCTTTTGTCTCACCTTTCCCAGTAGTGACTCAGATGCATATAAAGATCAGATACCAGCATTGCCAAATGAACAAGACCTGGTGAGAGAAGAAGCCCAGAAAATGAGTAGCCTTTTACCAACTATGTGGCTTGGAGCTCAGAATGGCTGGTAGGTGCCAGCTCTCTTAATGTTAGAGTATCTTTAGTCTTTTCCCTTTGCTTTTGAGATCAGGAGATAAGCAAAATGTGGTACATATAAATACAAACAAGAAGTACATATTAAAGCAAAGAATTTTATGTACACACATGTTGAGGTTATGTTGAGTAACTGTCTCATAAACTGGACTTATATTGGTTCTGAATGGTAAACCGTGTTCCCTTTATGTAATCTTGGAAGAAGAGGTAAATAAAATTTTAAAATCTGGGTGACCCAGAAATAGAAGATCCTGAAGAGCACAGAGAATTATTGGTACATAGAAGGTTTATATTGGCTAGAGTGTGTTCAGGAAATACTAGGGATTAAACTGATGTATTTGGCTTCAGGAAGGCCCAAATCCAAATACAACTTTTTTAGTAGTTACTAGGAAAACCAGTCTGTAAGCTTTGGAGATAATAACTAGCATTACATGGTTTGCTCGCTTTTTAGCAGTGTGGGGAGTGGTAACAAAATTGTACATTTCTAAAGGTTAAGCAAGGTCACTAGTGCATCTTTTCCATAGGTGTCTAATACTATAAAAGGAAGAATTGGGAAACTCTTTTCATGAAGAGTCAGATAAGAAATGTTAGGCTTTGTGGCTGTGTGATCTCTGTAACAACCTCTCAGCTGTGCAGTTGTGGTGCAAAAGCAGCCATTGCATTGACAATACGTAAGTGGAGCAGTGGGACTGTATTCCAATAAAACTTTATTTATGGACACTGAAGTATGAATTTCATACAAATCCCATACGTCATAAAATACTCTTCTTTTGATTTTTCCCAATCACTTAAAAATGTAAAAACCATTTTTAGCTTGCAGACTGGACTAAGACAGGTGGAGGGCTGCATGTGTCCTTCAGGCCACTCCCTGATGTAAACCGCTCTGTCGTCAGAAAGCTATAGTTCAGTAGAGTAGAAAAGTAAGATAACATTTTAAACAGGATTTTAGCCAAGGACTCTGGAAGTCTGGGGTAACCTGAAACCAACTGACCCTGCATTATTCTAGTTCTGGCTTTTCGTTCTTCATGTTTATGTTTGCTTAAGCAGCTTAGTTCTCTGCCTTAGGCCTACCCTTATTCTCATTGTTGCTTTTTTCCTAAAATTTGTATGTTACTCTTCTTTCCTCCTGAAGGAACTTTGTGGTCATTATTAGATGTAAGCGACGACTTGATGTTCTCTATGCCTTACCAGTCTTGATTTTGTTCTTGCAGTTTGTATGTCCATTCATCTGTAGCCCAGTGGAGGAAATGTCTCCATTCTATTAAACTTAAAGATTCGATTCTCAGTATTGTGTAAGTTTTATTTTAGAAATTCTTTCTTTTAAAAATAATCTATTTTGGTATACACTAAATTGTAAGACTATTAAAGCTAACATGTACTAAATGACTAAATTAATATCCAGATTTGTTTTCCCTCTTTACAGAATTAGAGAAGTTGAGTGCAATTGAAAACTAACTAAAAGTAAAATAGACAACTTTAAATAGAAAACTTGCCAAGTTGATTCCTTACCATACTGTGAGTTCTTTAGTACTTTGAGGAGAAAACCAATTAATACCTGTTAATTTATATTTGTTTTGGAATATTCTTTTTACTTTGTGAATATGTCAATAGAAGTATTTACTAGTCCTACTCTATATGTTAACTATCAAAAATCAGTTTGTCTCTTTAAGTCACAGAGCTGACTCTGTTAGTTCCACTTAAGGTGTGTGTCGCTGGTCTGTGGACCTTCTCTCTGTAGTCTTCGATGAGGGGGTTAGTTTAGGTTAGAAAGTAAACACCTGAGGCACCACATGTGCTATTTATTTAGTTCAGCTCACATTTTTATAGCAAGACTTTCTCAATGATGAAAAGAGTGTGTTCATTTAGGTTCTAATGTAAGCTCTTCATCGGTCACATACTGGCCCTCTGAGAGCCTCTGAACTAGTTCAGTAGCATGTGGTCCCATCTGTATTTCCGAATGGAGAGTTCTGAAATCCTTTCCTGTTTGCAGACATGTGAAGGGAATTGTGCTAGTGGCCCTGGCTGATGGCACCCTTGCAATCTTTCACAGAGGAGTTGGTGAGTGTTATGAATCTCTTACATGCGCAATAATGTGTTGCTTTGCAAAAGCATTTTCAAGCAGATTGGCTTCTTATGTTTTAAAGAAATGATGCTAGGAGAAAGAATAAAGATTTAAACTGAATACTGACAACGTATAAGATCAGTACATACGTGAGCGCCTGCCTGGAGATATACGGAGATAGTATACCTCGCTGAAAAGATGCTTTCCATAATGAGCAAGTACTTTAGCATTTCGTGGTCTTCTCATATTATGTGATATGGAGACATTTATTTTTCATTCATGTATTTATTCAATTGGGAGAAATTTGGTGAGAGGATATGTTTTCTTTTGTTTAGTATTTTAAAAATAATTTGCATGTACTTACGTTTGGTAAGTATTTTAAAAGAATTTTTAAGTGGGTAAGGTTTAATCACTTTCATGTCACATTAGTTATATTCTTCCCCTTTAAAACCAGTGTTTCTACCAACTACAGATGGAGGGGTGGTGGTGTCAGATAACCTGCCTTGAGTGAATTAAGGGACTGGAGCATATTCCTTGATACATGTATCAACCAAAAATTATACTTCATTCCTTACCTGCTGGATTAGTAAATCAGATCAGGGAACTAGAAAAACATAGATACACTAAATTTGGATATTAGCCAGGCCTTCCCCGGTCTGGTAGCCTTTTGTGCTTGGAGAAATGTGAGGCAGATGATAGTGCTTGGGGGCTTTGTAACTGACTGGTACCTAGAGATTGCTGGTTAATGACTACATAACAAAAAGAGTGACAGGCCCCTGCTTTACCTTGTTCAGGCCCTATACAGACTATTTGAGTTTGTCATCCTCATTTTATAGATGAGGAAACTGAGGCACAAAGTATTTTAGTTACTTGTTCCCGGTCACTCAGCTAGTAAATGGAATAGCCTAGGGGAAAAAATGTAACAGTAAATGTTTTGGTAAACTGAATTCAAAATTATGTTGACAAAATAAGACAAAGTACATTTAATAAGGATAAACATAAAGACCTGCGTTTGGGTTCAGAAGAGTAAGATGGAGGAGACATATCTGAAAAGTAAGAATTACCTAAAGGTTGACTACAAACTCCATATGAGTTAACACCTTAAGTCTCATAGAAATTAGTGTCCAGAACAGGGCTGGTGATAATCCTGCTCCATTGTGCTAGATAAACAACATTAACTAGACATGGACAAAGCAGAGCTGGGATGAAGGGTCCATAAACTGTGATGTGCACAAAACCCATGCCAAGGATGCTTGAGTTTGAAAGTGGAAGACATGGGGCAGTAACAAAGAAGTTGGGCCAGAGTTATTGTTTGATTCCCTTGGGCAAAACTCTAGGCTAATGGGTGATTGCATATAAGGAGGCAGACTTTAGCTAGGAATGGGGAGTTTTTTTCTTTTTTGACAGTTAATAGCTTTCTGAAAATGGAACAGCTGCTTTGGGAGGCAGTACGTTTTCTTCCACTGAAATTATTCAAGCACAGCTACAAAGCAAAGCAAGCTTCCAGTAGTTTCTTCTCATTTGTATGTCTGTCATCACTAAAATTATAGTACACATGATTCCTAAAGTGTTAGCAGTGAGTTGCCCTTGACTTCTATTCAAGAAAATACATCAAAATGCAAGCGAGTGAGAGAGATAATATCCCCCAAATAACCTTAAGTCCATTCTAATTCTTAAGATATTATTACAAATCGATAACTTATAACTGATTTATCACATCACTACTGTTGAGAGCATGGGGGTCCAGGTACTGGGTGGCAGGTTGGACCAGAAGACCTTCGAGCACAGCTAGAAAGCAGTTTATAGAATAAGAGAGCTCACTCTCTGCAAATAAAAGATATACTGAATACATGGTATTTGGGGGTGCTTCATCAATAAATTTAATTATACACCGTATAGGATGTTTCTTGTGTTAAAATTGAGTAAAAGGTGGTGTGCATTAACTAATAATCGATTTCTTCATTTAAAGATGGGCAGTGGGATTTGTCAAACTATCACCTGTTAGATCTCGGACGGCCTCACCATTCCATCCGATGCATGACTGTGGTCCATGACAAAGTCTGGTGTGGCTATAGGAACAAAATCTATGTGGTTCAGCCAAAGGCCATGAAAATAGAGGCAAGTTAACCCATGTTTTCTGTACTTACTGAATTTGTATTTCCTGAAGTTTCGAAGTCTATTTTCAGCTTCTTGAGAAATTATTTTCTGAATCTGTCTGCTTTTGGGTGCTTCAGTGATATATTGATGACATCTTAGCTTTCTTGCTACTTTTTTTCACCTCTTGCTAGTTTTGACTTTGAAAGTGGAAGTTGTTTTTTTTTAAAGGAAGAGGATGAACATGAATGTTTAAAGTGTGTCCCAGTATCCATAGATGCATACGGTATTGTTTTTTTGTTTGTTTGTTTGGTTTTATTTTTAGCTGAGCCATCCTGCCACCAGTTGGCAGCTCAGCGGCTGCTCAGCTCAGGCCAGGACTCAAACCGCTGTTGCTCAGCGCTCGCACTCTTGAGCGAGCTCTTAACCAATTGAGCCACTCGGCTGGCCTGCATACATGTACTGTTTGAATACATGGTTCTTCATTTAATTATGTGTGGGCTGCTGAGGAGGAGGATTCCCAAGTCTCTGCCAGCCCATGTGTATTTAGGAAAATCCATATATGTGTCAGACTGAGAAATAATATTGCAGTGGGAATTTGTTGTAAAAACAAAATCTCTTAGCATTGCTTTCTTAACAAAAAGTTTTGCAACAATACATAAATTCATTCTAATTGTTTTAAAAAAGAAAAACTTACAACAGGAAAATATTAAGGTGAAAGGGCTCCTTCTCCCTTTGTTCCAAATCTCATTCCCTTACCTAAAAGTCCCAAAGTTAACCATTTGGTGTTTATTTTTCAGATCTATTCCTTACATACACACACACACACACACACACACACACACACACACACACACACACACACATACACACACACAGCAATGTAGGTTCCTTGGGTTTAATTATAAATAGTATTTTACTTCATGTATTTCTCTGCAACCATACAAAACCTTGAGATCAAGTTCAGTCTTTTTGTTGAACACTGTTACATAGCACGAATGTGCCAGTATTACTTTCATAAGTCAATCCCCAATGCAGTGTTGAAATCCAGCATCCCTAAGTTCTTGGTTCTTTATTTTGTTTTGCAGTCCAGGATAAAAGCAATTATGTATATAACAGCGATCATATTTAATAAACAATATTTAGGCTTCTCTTTTAATATACGTTCTGCCAAATCACCAGTTTTTAAACACAAACTCCTACTTAACAAAAGTAACATGACTGAACATTCTTTCCTAGAAATCATTCGATGCACACCCCAGGAAGGAGAGCCAGGTGCGGCAGCTTGCATGGGTGGGTGATGGTGTGTGGGTCTCCATTCGTTTGGATTCCACACTCCGTCTCTATCATGCACACACTTATCAGCATCTGCAGGATGTGGACATTGAGCCTTATGTAAGCAAAATGTTAGGTAAGCTTCCGAAGCATTTTATTTTTGTCAATTAAAGAAAATGTTTTATTTTTAAGTGGTCTCAAATGCTGGGTAGAACCAGTGACTAAGTCGAGCTCTTTTCACTGACAGTGTCAGGCAGATGCTCCATCGATCCTGTCATTATTGGGATCATTTGTGTCTCCTCTCTTCTTTCCCACATCTAATCCATCATGGGAACTGTCAAGCCTGCCTCCAAAAATACCTTAAATCAATTACTTCTTGATCACTCTCCCTGTAGACCAGGCCACTGTGCTTTCTCCACTGCACAACCATGAGCCTCCTAACTGGCTCCCTGTTTTCACTCCCGTCTGTTCTCTGCATAGTAACCACTGTGCAGCATCACCATGACATACTTCCTCTTACATAATGCCAGCCACTTCTAGACTATTCCTGCCTTAGGTGAAGTGGCATTTTGTGACAGGACCAGAAGAATCTGAGGGGCCCGGACCGCTCTCCTCACTCACTGTTCTACCCACACTGACCCTTACTCACCAAGTTCCCATCTCAGGCCTCATATGTCCTGCGCCCTCTGCCTGAGACGTTCTTCTTGGTCCCTGTTTACTTGGCTTTCAGACCATAGCTTACGTGTCACATTCAGATCCCCCAGTTTGATTTAGGTCCCCTTACACTTTCTCTTCATGGGCCTGTCATTGTGGTTGCACTGGCAGCATGTGCTTCTTGTTTACTGTCTCTGCTCCACACACCATAAGCCCCCTGAAGGCAGGGACCACTTCAGGTTTGTCCCCTGCTGTAGCCTTAGCCCCTAATGCAGAGCTGTGCGACTGTTCGGGATGTCATAAATGATTCCTTTATGAAGAGAGGTTGAACCGCATCGGTGGTTTTTAATCTCTTTAGGGTCTTTGCCCTCAGAACACCTGATGATAGCTATTGTGCCCTCCCTGGAACCAGACATACGTACACATAGACCCAGACTAATGTCCGGGCTAGACATGGACCAGAGGTGAAAGTTCCCTGGCTTAGACTGCATAAAGTTAAGGCTCCTTCTGACACTGTGATTCTGTGATCGTACTCTCAGCTCTTACAAGCAGAACTTTATGAGTGACTAAATGCTCTTTGTCTTAAATATATTATCTGTTTAATAATTTAGCCTCTCAAATAACAGAAAATAAGATCAGTTTTAAACTTCCCTTGAAATAAGAAAGTGCATCTATTCTCTCTAAATTATATGCCTACGGTTTCCTAAAATTACTGAACTGCCATTGAACTTAAATATGTGAACAAGGGAAGAGTGTAGGTTTTGTTAGCAAAGATTTTCTTTTTATCTAGTCAAAGAAATTTAAGGCAAACCAGAACTTTTTCAGCATATCCAATCGAAGGACATTTGACTTCCCAATTTAGAAAAAACACTTTTTGTTGAGGGTTTTATGTTTTGTGTTCTGGTTTGGTTTGGTTTTGCAGCTCCCTAATTAAATCCTGTGCCATATTTCCTGATCTCCCTTCTGAATGATAATGTTTAGAATTTTCTTTCCCATTAACCATGAATTGTCAGATAGATGATAAAGCCAAATGAGTTTGCTTTGATGTGTACCTTCAGGAAACATCCAACTAGCTCTGGACGTTTTCTCTCTGTTATATTAATCCACCTACTCTGAGGGACCTGGAACCTGAAACATCGTCTGCTCTAGTTTCTCAATAAAATGCTTTCCCCCCCCCCCCCATGTACAGGTACTGGAAAACTGGGCTTCTCTTTTGTGAGGATCACAGCTCTTATGGTGTCTTGCAATCGTTTGTGGGTAGGGACAGGAAACGGTGTCATTATCTCCATCCCATTGACAGAAAGTAAGTATATTTTCACCTGACTGTCGCAGTACAGGGAATAGTGATGTCCAGAACTCAGGCAGAAGGAATTGCTTTGGTATTGGCAGCTCTGGTAATTCAGGAAAGCAAGCTGGTGGCAGAAATCTAATCTAACTTGTTCCTTCACTCTTTCAATAAAACTTAAGAACTGTTTCATAGAAACTTATGAACTGTAGTGAATGACTGTTTCCATCTATCAGGACCGATATTTATAATTAAAATTTTTTCACTCTGAGCAGCTCTTTTTCAATTCAGGAATCATAGTCCTATTTCATCTTTTAAATAAAGGTTGAAGTCCAGTTTCCTTTCTGCTTTATTACACCAGTATTCAGAAACACTACCTAACATTCATGCTAGTTTTTCATATCTCCCTGGCAGTTAGTGTAGGATATTCCATTTGGCTTATTTGGGGTTTAGGGAAAGTTGTGGAAGAAGTTTCTCAGGAAGTTAGCAAGCCTTTTCTTTATGCTGAAGACAAGTCATCTAGCCTGTATTTGAAAAGAATGTGAACAAAATGTACACTGTATGTTTTTTATATTATGTTCCATTTATTATTTTTGTGAACAAAATATACATTGTATGTTTCTCACATTATGTTCCATTACATTGATCATTCATTAAATAATTGTTTTTATGTTGCAAAATTCATGGGCAGGAACTGTTTTGAAAACAAGTGCCATAAGTCTATAAAATAAGTTTAATAGATAAACACCTCAGAACCGCCCTACCTTTTTTCAGGGGAAAGAGAGGAAGACGGGTGTATCTGGAAGGTGGTATATCTGGGGCCATTAAAGAAGCTAAATTTTTAATCCCAGCTGACTTTTCTGCAATTATGAATCTACGTGTTTAGACCACTTGCATCCTAAGAGATCCTAGGATCCCCAGAATTCATTTCAGTTCTTTATAAAAGAGAGTTCCATTTTACCAGTTATTTGAACGGGATTTCTTAAAGATAAAGGGAAAATATTAGCATTTAGAAAATACTCCCCATTAAATTATAAAGCACTGAAGTTGCTTTATATTAAGAAAAATAAAATCACAGTAAATCAAATGGTATTTTTTGAGCAGAGATATTCTGTAGAGACTTTGGTAAGAATTTTGAATGTGACTTGGTATTACACCAAGTTGGATTTTGTTAGGAGCTTTGGGCACCACGTTGCCAGATGGAAGACACAGAGTGGTGGCTCCTAGTAATTCTTCTCCTCCGTCGTGCACCTCTCCATGTCCCCTTTCCTCCTCTCTCACTTTAGCCGTAATCCTCCACCAGGGACGTTTACTGGGGCTGAGGGGTAAGTGCAGATCCTGAACCCACTCTCCTTCCTGGCTTCTGATAGCCACTGTGAGGCTGTTCTCACATCTCTAGAATGTTCCTAAATGTCATCCACTCGCAGTCACCGCATCGCAGCAGGTTTTTGTTTTGTTTTTGTTTTGATGTCTGTTACATGGCCACCAAACTACTGCTCAGCAGCTTAGTCTATTGATCACCTTTTGTTGCAGCTGAACTTTCTTTCAGACTTTTTTTTCTTGCAATAAAACCAGAAACATCTCTTAAAACTGTCATTAATCTACATTGTTTACTCTTGTTACCAATCTTGTTTCTTTCATTCACTTCCTAGCCCATGGAATGGGGATGTTTTGTGAGTCTGGTCATTCCAAAATAATCCAGCAAACGCCAGTCTGGTGTACATAAAAGCTACTCTATTGTAGTGCCAGATCCTTTTAAACAGCTTTTTACTATCCCCCTCGAGGGAGGTATTCTTACCACGGGGAGAAAAAGCAGAAGATAAACTATAAAAATTTTATTTAAAAATGTACCCATTTACTTTAAACTATGTAACTGGTTAGTTTTCTAAAATGGGGATTAAAAAACAAAATAAAACAGACATACTTAAGATTCAAATCTGTTTTGTTAAAATGATTTTTTTTAAGAAATACAAGTGTTTAAAAAATAAGCTTAGTTATTGCTAGACTGGCAAAATCCCCTACTCCATTCACTGAGGTATTTAAAAATAACTAGCATGCTATGTATCTTTTTTTCCAGCTTTGTCTTGAATTGGCATTGCTGCCTTTGTTTTATCTCAACTGGCTGTAGCTTTTAGATAATATCATAAGGATTAACCAGTAACCTCTTGCATCATCACTGTTTTCTAGTAGAAAATATTTGATATTTGGTTTTTCTGTTACAGCAAATAAAACCTCAGGAGCACCTGGAAATCGCCCTGGAAGCGTGATCCGCGTATATGGTGATGAAAACAGTGATAAAGTGACACCAGGGACATTTATACCTTATTGTTCAATGGCACATGCACAGCTTTGCTTCCATGGACATCGGGACGCTGTGAAATTCTTTGTGGCAGTCCCAGGTGACGTAAATTATTCTGTCGAGAGCTTCTGTAATTGTCTCTTTTCTGTCCCTTGCATCCACTACCTACTCTAATGCTAAGTACTAGAATTGCAGACCATTCCAATATAACACATGAAAAGTTCTATAATGGAGGTATGAATAAAGGGCTATAGGGATACTTCAGTGAAGTTGTTTTAGACTCTCTCCTCCGCCCCCAAAAACAAACTTTTCAATTTTTATTTAAGAAATCTGCCTGCTTTTGAAAAGCATTGGTATTATTTTGTCACCACAGAGTACCAAAAATGGTCTTGCCTAATAAAGGAGATCACTAGAACGAAGTCCCTGACATCAAGGCTGTGTGCGGGAAGAGATGGAGAATGTGCTCTGGGGCCTCTTTCGGCGTGGTGGCATAGCTCATAGGCCAGGAGCCGGCGGTCTGGGCCTTCCGCCTCACCATGTGCCTTGTTACCTTGAGCAAGTCGCTTAACCTGTGCAACTCATTGCCTTACTTTCCTTACGTGGACGTGATTCATAGCTGCTCTCTGCCGGCCTCATTTGTTGTGAAAGTTAATGAACGTGCTTTGAGAACGACAAAGCACCATCCAGATGAAAGGTGGTAATGATGATATCCAGTGAAAAATGTTCTGGGTATTGAGAATACTAAAATGATGTTACTGACCAATGTTTTGCATTATTTCCCCCATAAGAGGTAAGTTTAGGAGTTAGACAAAGTTCAAATCTGATTTTGCCACACCAGCTGACTGTGTGGCATTGGACATAGTAGTGTGTCAGTGCCTGAGGGTTCTTCAGAGAAACAGAACCAACTGAGTGAGTTGAATGTGTGTGTGTGTGTGTGTGTGTGTGTGTGTGTGAGAGAGAGAGAGAGAGAGAGAGAGAGAGAGAGAGAGAGAAGAGGGAGAGATATTTTGATTGATTGATTGAAGGAATTGGCTCATGTGATTATAAGGGCCAGCAAGTATGAAATCTGCAGGACAGACTGGTAGGCTGGAGACCCAGGAAAGGGTTGATATTGTAGCTCAAGTCCAAAAGCAGTCTGCTGGCAGAATTCCCTCTTTGGGAGAACCTATGTTTTTCTCTTAAGACCTTTCGCTCGCCGATTGGATGAGGCTCACCCACATTATGGAGAGTAATCTGCTTTACTCAAAGTCTACTGACTTAAATGTTAATCTCATCTAAAAAAATACCTTCATAGCAATATTCAGACTAGTGTTTGACCAAATACCTGGCACCATGGCCTAGCCAAGTTGACACAGAACATTAACCATCACACCCATTTTCCCAAGGGTTTCCAAAGATGAGATGATGAGTATAAAGACTGCAGGGCTGGCCCAGGGTACCCTAGTTACTCAGTATTCTTAGCAACATGGTAATAAGCTTCCCAAAACACACATCCTGTATATTTGTATAGTTATTTCCTTAAGATGAGTTCCTAGAAATGGAATAGCTGGTAATAGTGTTTTGCTTTTTAAAAAAAAGAAATATAATGCCATAGAGTCCCCTTTGAGTCTCCTTTATATTCCTCCCATCCCCGTCCCTTTTCCTCTCCATCTGTAATCTTATCCTGAAGTTGATGTGTATCCTCCGGCCCATGTTTTTATACTTTCACTACATTGGGACATATCTGTAAACAATATATAGTGTTTTTGAATTTAACTTAAATGTTATGTTACATATATATTCTTCGACATGCTTCTCGTTTTTGAGATTTGTTAAGTTTATACATATAAATCTAGTTCATTCATTTAACTATGGTATTCTAATATCTGAATAAATGTGTTACATTTTACTCAGTCTCCTGTTGATGGACAGCTAGGTTTTTTTCTCCCTTTCCCCTCCACTTTTAAAAACAGTATTGCCCCAGATAGTTTTGTGCAAGTGGGAAAGGCTTTTCTGTTGGGTATAAATCTGGAAGTAGAATTGGCATCATTGTTGTTTGTCGACCAGTTGGCCCTAAGGATTAAACCATTCAGGGTGGCTGTCTCATACCACTGTGCTCTTGATTCTGTGGTAGACTACTAGTCTGCTAACAGTTCTCTGTAGCGGGCCTTATTCCTTCCAGAGTTGAATGAGCAATGCATGAATGAGATACTGTGGGAATAAATCAAACTATCCTGTCCACTTGCAACATAAAGTGTGTTGCATCATAGGATCATGTCCTGCTGTCTCCTGGAGGCGTGGTCTGTGTAGTTGGACCAAAGGAGAGCAAGCAGACTGTGGCAGAAAAAACAAGTACCCCCCAGTCAAAGCTTTCTAAGAGGGATGTCATAGAGATTACAGTGTGGATAATATTTGGTTTCTCTCTCTACCATTTTAAGCTCAAGGATTCTACCTTAAAACTAAACTTTATAGCAAATGGCAGATTTACCAGTAATCTTATTTGCGTAATCTAAATTAAAAATAAGATGTAGTTTTCTTAAGTATGAGAGGAAAACCATGGATTTGGAATAAATGTAAATATTAATTAGGAATAGTCAAACTCATAAGGCTTAAAGTGAATACTTTTCTCAGCCTTTTACACAAACCCACAAGTGCCCTCTCAGGGGGAGATACCTTTCTACTGTCCCTCAGATCAAAAGGTGTAGATTCTAAAAGTCTGAAGCAGGCAGCTAAGACTGCTGGATTTTGGACCTATATCTGCTTTGGTGCAAAATGGCTTCACTTAGATTTTCAAATTGGGCCCTTTTGACCTTTGTAGAAGTTTTCTGATCATGCAGATGCTTCTAGCATCCCTAGCACTTTGGGTATATTAGATTATACTTACTTTTTTTGTTCAACTTTCTGAAAATACTCAGAAAGAATGAGTCTCCCACCCCAATCTGTGATAAGTAATACTCACTTCTGATCCTGTATATGTAAACAGGTCAAGTCGTCAGCCCCCAAAGTGGCAGTAGTGGCACAGACCTAACAGGTGACAAAGCAGGACCATCTGCACAGGAGCCTGGCAGCCAGACGCCTTTGAAGTCCATGCTCGTCATCAGCGGAGGAGAGGGCTACATTGACTTCCGGATGGGTAAGTCAGGGCTTCTGGGAGCTCAGTTTCCACGGTATTCTGTGACTTGGAGTTTCACCCACAGTAAACCCTGAAAAGTGGTTTCTAGGTTTTCTTTGAATTCATTCCTTGGAAAAGAACTTTCTATTTCCCTCCCTCCCTTCCATCCTTCCTTTCTTCCACCAAAGTGTATTTGTTTGAAGGAGCCTTAGAAAATAGCAGGATTTGTCATATGTTGAGGTATATGTGACGAGCATAAGATATGGTGTCTTATGCTCTTCACATTATCTTATCTTATTCTGTCAGAAGGCCTTGGGCAAATCATTCAACCTGTAGAAGCTTAGTTTCCTCACCTGCAAAATGGAGTGATAATAATACGTACTTCATAAAGTGTTGTTTGTATCAATACTGATTTCATTTGTTCATTTTCTCACCTTGTAAACATTATCTACTATGTGCCTGTCAGCCTTAAGTGTAAGATACAGAAACAAATCAGACGTCTCCCTCCGTGGATCATCTCCCTCCGTGGATCATAAAGCAGTGCAGAGATAGAAGTGTGCTGACGAACGACAGTGTAGAGATGCTCTGGGAGGAGGGGCAGGGAGGGAAGGGAGTCCAGAAACAACACTTGAGCTGACTCAGCGTCCAACAGTGTTAGTCTAAAGAACTGACTTAGGATATGGGATGGGAAGGCTTGGGGGCTGGCATTCCCAAGTGAGAGAATAACGACCAAAGGTTAGAAATGTGAAACCACTTTAACTGAAGAAAAACTATTGAAAAGTGACTAGAGCATAGAGTAGAAGCAAGTACAAGTTTGACCAGAGATAAGTCGAGAGAAGAGATAGGGAAATGAATTAAGCAAAAGGGAACAACTGACTAAGGTAGTAACGGTAGAAATAGATCAACAGCATGATGGGAAATTGGGACGTGCAGTCATGCACCCCATAATGAAGGGGGTATGTTCTGAGAAATGCGGCATTAGGCAATTTCATGGAGTGCACTTACACTAATCTAGACGGTGTAGCCTACTGCGCAGCCTATAGCTCCTAAGCTGCACGCCTGTGCAGCATGTTACTGTGCAAAACAACACGAAATTAAATCAAGCACAAGAGAAAATGATGCAATCAAGTAAACACAAGATGTGTGAGACTGCTGCCGGCATCACACAGCATATGTTTTACAACAAACTTTTTTTGATAAGTAGAAAGAATACACTCTAAAATAATAAAAAGTGTACTGTAGTAAGTACATTAAAAAGTGTAGTGTAGTAAGTACATAAACCAGTAACATAGTCGTTTATTACCATTATCAAGTATTCCGTACTGTACATAACGTATGTGCTAAACTCTCTATGACTGACAGCGCAGTAGTTGTTGACTCCAGCATCAGCACAAACGTGAGGAATGCACTGTACTATGACATCGCTAGGCAACAGGGCATTTTCAGCACCATTAGAATCTTACAGGACCACCATCTGGAATGTCATTAGGACTGTAAGAGGCTGTGGGGAAAGAGGGAGTGCGCCATTGACTCAGAGAGACAGACTATCAGGACAGAAGGAGCGGATTTGGAGGGAGGGAAAGAGGAGTTCCAGTGTCGGGTATGCTGGCCTTGAAGAGTGCATGCGAGGTGGGCAACGTTCACTGGGCTTTTGGGTCTATTTTTTTGTCTCAGGAGGGAGGGATTTGGGAGCTGTTGGCCTGCAGTGGTTAATGAGTTCACCCAAGGAGAGTTATGTTGTGGGTTAAAAGAAGAGGGTATAGGACAGAGCTCTGTATTAATATGCTCCATTTAAAAGCTTGTGAAAGGACCTATCTAAGAAGGAATGGCCAAAGAGGTACAAGTACAAAGAAAACAGAGAACTGATGTTTGTGAAAGTCTAGTGCTTTGTCAACTAGAGCACTGTGATGTCAGTGTATTTGCCATAAAAGAAGGGATCCTTCGGACTGGCCTGAAATTATAGTGATTTAAAAGTTCCTAAACGTCATATATTTTAGTTATGAATACTGTAAAAAAGGTATAAAATTTAGGGTCATGCAAATGACAATGTACTACATGTAATTAGCATAAACTAGAATACCTGATGCTAAAAGGCTTACTGACACATTTTTTTAAAAAAATATTTTATTGGGGAATTGGGGGAGGGGAACAGCCAAGTTGTTGTCCTTCACTCTTAGTTGTGGAGGGCGCAGCTAGCTCAGCTCCAAGTCCAGTCACCATCCTGCCACCTGTTGGCAGCTCAGCGGCAGCTCAGCTCAGGTGCAGCTCACTGGCCCATGTGGGAATTGAACTGGCAACCCTGTCCGTTGCCCAGAGCTCACGCTCTTAACCAACTGAGCCACTCGGCTGGCTCCACTGACACATTTTTAAGAGGGGGTTGTTAAGTTTAGAAATTGATGGATTCCGGCGATGTTAGCAGGAATGGAGTCACTTCAAAGTGTTTTAAATAATTGTCTGTTGTGCAGAATTCCTTTTTAAAGAGGGACTTCACTTAGTTAGGGTGATTTTATTTTTTTTATTTGTGTGTGTGTGTGTGCGCAATATGGCAGTTGGAACCATGCAAAGTATGTTATGTTAAAACCTCTGGTTTGTCCATTTTCAAAAAATTCTTTCCATTGTGGATTCTGAAAATAGCATAGAAATTGCTTAACCAGGTTTTTCAATATCTCTAGTTAACACGACCTGAAAAACAGACTTGTCTTAAAGCATAGGTTAATTTTAATAGTAAATATGCTTTTAAAAAAATTTAGTGTGATCTTTTTTTGTTCCTTTTTCATTTCCTGTAATATATTAACAATGAAAAATTGATCCCAACAGTCCCATATGGCTTAATTAAGTAGGATGTAGAGACTTTAGGAAACAGGGTAATTTTTAAAAATAGAACCTTCAAAACAAAACAACTCAAAAAACAAAGGCCAGCAATCTTTTGTCTCAGCTAACTAGTCATTGTCATTATAACTTTCTAAAATTGAAAACCTAAATTTTTTACACTCTGACTACCTGATTATATTTCAGTTCAGAAATTGGATTTTGTCTTGAGCCTTTTAAAGCATGCTCCTCTCCACAGCTGGACATTGCTGTGAAAAGGCCACTAGGAGGGTGGGTAAGGGAGAGTTTGGCCTGCTGAGGAAAATGCAGATTTTTACAGTTTTCCTCTTCCGCTCTTCCTAGTTGACAGTATCAGTGTTTTCTTTTGCCCAACTGAAATTCAGTGGAGACACAGTACAGAATTATAGATCAGCGGTATAGCTTAGTCCCTTGTTATATAAGTTGGTAGGATTCTGCTGAAGAACCTATTCCACTAGATGAGCTGTCACTGGGTTAGTCCAGAATAACCCTGCTCTGCAACAAAAAAGCCAATTGATGGGTGCTTGTACAGAGGAGTATGGGTGCTTGTACAGGAGTGTATGGGTGCTTATACAGAGGAGTACGAGGTGTGATCAAAAGATACAGTGAGGGGGTGACTGGTTAGCTCAGTTGGTTAGAGCATGGTGCTGATAACACCAAGGTTGCCAGTTCGATCCCCACATGGGCCACTGTGAGCTGTGCCCTCAAAGAGTCAACTATGCCATTGTAGCATGAAAACAATGTGTAACCAATGACCATGGCTGTTCTCCAATAAAATTAAAAAACAAACAAACAAACAAAAAAACCTATCTTTAAAAAAAAAAAGATACAGCGAGTGTTTAAATTTAAAATGTATTACAGTAAAAGACACATTGCCATTAATCCCCCTCAAAATACTTTCCCTCGCTTCGAACACACTTATCTCATCATTCTTGCAACTTTCTGAAGCAGTTCTGGAAGTCCTCTTTGTGAGTGTCTTTACTTCATCCTCCATCATGACAGCGTTCCGTGTCACACATTGCTTCTGGTACTGCAATTTCTGTCAAATAAAAACATTACGTTGTGTCCTCATCCACCTTATTCACTGGATCTGGCACCATGCAACCTCTGGCTCTTCCCCAAAGTCAGAATGATTCAGGACATCGATGCAGCCATGACAGCGCAATTAAAGACCATCATGAGGGCTGGCTGAGTAGCTCAGTTGGTTAAGAGTGGAAGCTCTGAGCAACTGGGTCGCCGGTTCGATTCCCACATGGGCGAGTGAACTGCACCCGAGCTGAGCTGCCACTGAGCTGCCAACAGGTGGCAGGATGGCTCAGCTAGTGAGAGAACGTGCGCCTAACAACAAGGTTGCCAGTTCAGTGCTGGCCGAGTGGCGCGATGGTTAAGAACTGGCTTGGGACACCAGAGGGCCCCGGTTCTGATCCCACATATGAGGGCCAGTGACACTGCCCTCCACAGCTAAGATGCTGAACAACAGCTCAACCTGGAGCTGGGCTGCTATGAGTCGCCGGCGACGGCGTAGGCTGCAGCCCCTGTGGCAGTGGGTTGCCATGGGCTACCGTATGTAGCCAGCAGCCAGCGTGAGCGGCCAGCAGCCGCAGTGAGTGGCCGTCCAGAAGCCGGTGACTGATCTGCCTCGGCCGGGAAGAGCGCAATGATGGTGCCAACTTGGGCCGGTGGGGCGACATCCTCCACAACTGGACTGAGGAACAAGGGGACAGCAGCTTGTCTGTTCCGCTTCCCCCAATTCCCCAGCGCTGTTCCATTCCCCCAATTCCTCAATAAAAATCTTAAAAAAAAAAAAAAAGATAAACACAGAATTGGACAGCTTTGCTTTCTTAGCTTCCATTAGCTTCAGTATGCAGACATATTGGGATGAGCCCCCAATATGGTATAGTGAACTCACGTTACAGATATAGTCTGGAAATGAATTAACCTTTTCAGAAATCCGACAGAGAAGATTCTGCTTCATGGCATTTCTGTTACTGTGTTGCCTGCAGTGGGAGGCAGATGAGTTTGTGCACACTGTTCACGCACTGAGCGTGAGCATCACGTGGGATGGACATCGGCCTGCATAGTCCACGCTCAGCCTGACATATCACCCTCTTATCATCCCCCAGGTGATGAAGGTGGAGAATCAGAACTTCTTGGAGAGGATCTTCCACTTGAACCTTCTGTTGCCAAAGCAGAAAGGAGTCACTTGATAGTGTGGCAAGTGATGTATGGCAGTGAGTGAGCCCGTGGGACCCAGGCGGAGCCAGAGGCGCCGTCGCTTCTGCATGGTTTCTTTCCCCGTTTCCTCTTTATTTAATGCTCTCTTCGTGAAATAAGTTTCACCACATAATGTGTGAGCATTTTTTTCCCTGTTAACTTTACATTACAAAATCTGTCTTACCGTAACAATACAGGAACTAGCCGTTTTACTGCACCAGTGTTATAGGCAATTTCAGTATATTATGAACAAATCAAGGAATGTTTACTTTCTGCAAACTGGTGAATTATAGAAAGCAATCCAGAGGTGGTATGTTCTGCCACAGCTAATGTCACTTCACTTGATGGGGTCACTTTTTAGCTATCACTAATAATGGAATTAATGGAAACACTTGATAAATGAAATAGTAAAGTTTTCCCCCAGTGTATTATAAAATTGACACAAACTAATATCAGGTGGATGATCAGGATTTATCTAAATGTCCCGAGAGGGCTAAAAGCTAACTGTAAATTACTTAAATTTTCACTTTCGAATCTGACAAATCTTGTTTATATGGTATATAAAACTTTGTTTTCATCAGATTTGGGGGGGTTTTATATTAAAGAAATTAAGACTACACTATTTAAATAAAAGTTTCCTGTTTCTGACTTAGAGCTATAAAGTTTATGAGGCCTGCTTCTCTGAATATTCTGATTTTTTTTTTTGAGACTAGTTTTACTCATTTCATACTGACATGTCTGAAAGATTTATACTTATAAGGCTTAGAAGATAGGCGTCAGCAATGGGAGGATTTTTTTTTTTTAAAGGAAATTGTGTTTTGGATTCCTTGTACGAGCAGTTGGTGGTGGTTGGTTGTTTTTTCCATGTGAAAAGTTCACCTGTTTACCAGCAGTTCTTGGACTGCTCTTATCAGTTAATAAGACTAAAGCCTTAGTGGTGATGGAGTGTGGCCTACAAACTGAATGAGGGATTTGATTAGAAATGGTATTTTCTCTTCTGTATAAAACTACAGAACAACTGTACTTGATATTTTGTATGTAAATGACACATTTGAGCTTTTATGCCCTGTTGAGCCTGAAATGCCATCTTTAAAGAGGAAAGCTATGAAGGGGAAGAAGACAAAGTTGAGATGCTGTAAAATAAAAGTTGACATGACATCTTTTTACTCACAATACCCATTTAAAAAAATACTGTCTAGGTCTGATTGCCTTGTTTAATTATACTGCAGTTTTTTCCCTCTCAATCTTCTTGAAAATGTGTGATTTACCATTTTTTACTCATTACTTTAAGCAAAGCTAAATATAAATTTAAGTGCTATTTTAAAAATATAAACCTATTCGCTAAAGACCCCTTATCGGAAGGACTACTTCAAAGAAAAGAAAGCAAACACAGGTCTCAGATTATCTAAGCATTCTTAAGTACCAGGAATTTTTTTTTTTTTCTGAACTGTCATGCAAAGATATTTGTAAAACGCACACGTCTTTTAAGCATATACATGATTAGGCTAGATTGTAAAATACATCAGATTTAATGAGCTGGAGGAGGCCTTTGAATCCATTTGGCCACATGTGTCTTTAAGCACATTATGTACACAGTAAAATTGTGGCCACTTTAGATGGCTAGAAGAAGAAACTTTTGGTAAAAGCTATATTAAAAGGATAATTTTTTTGCCTGAGCTATGTACTTTTCTTCAGGGCACTAAAACTTAGGCCACTTTTCCATAATTTCTAAGCTATGTTTTTATTTCATTTTAAATCTGAGTCATTTTTGGCAATACTTAAAAAAAACAAACCACATTCTTAAACATTTTGGGGAATGTTGTATAAATTCACAAAAAAGAGACACCAAAGTGTTTGGAAATGTTAATACCCAGAAGTAAACATCCCAGAGTCATACCCCATTTGCTGTTCAGTCTCTTACAGTTTATATGGCCGAATGTAATTTAGGAAATCAGGGGTTGAAGATGAGAAATGCAAACAAACATGTTGTAATTGTTCTTTATAAACTTACTGGCTTTAACTTAAGGAATATGGGTGTGGACTTATTTTCTCTCAAACTGTCAGATTGCGTGTGGCCCTGTTAACTAGCTCCAGGGACTAGCGGGAGTTCACAAACGCCTGTACAATTTGTTTTAAGGGCTTGTCCTCATGTTTGTAATTTCAGTTAAGTATTTTCTGCAAATTGCTTTATTTCCCCTTCCTCCCATAACAGGTTTATATTCTTATAATGTTCACTTTAGTCAAGGTTGCAACCTTTGGAAGAAAATGCCAAAATGTAAGCTTCTTGCAAACAGCAAAGTGATTGTTGTAAACTGCTTATAAGCTAGCACGTTAAGGGCAGAGAAGAGGATTGAGTACCTTGGATTGGTCTCATCATGTAAAAAACAATTTACTCGTTTTGGAAGAAATAAGGGATGCCTGAGAATTTCCTCATTTTGTTACGCTTGGATGACGTATGAGGTTGAACCGTGTAAAATTGCTGATGTTTGACCATTGCTGATCTACAAAAGTGGCAGTATCATATACATCAACCAAACACTATTGTATGTAGGTTAAAATCCCTGTGAGGCAAAGGGAAAATATTCTCTAGGAATCCAGTTTTTAAATTCCTTCCTAGATTTGAGAACAGACCCTTTAACAATGGCTGCCTTAGAAACAAAAACAATTGTCTCATAATATTAACTGGCCTATAGAATGTGCGTTGGGCAACTGCTACGGAACTGAATATTTATTTCCTTGTGAGTATTATGACCGTTACCAAAGGACTCAACCAGATTTAGGGCACTTCTTAATTGATCATGTTGAGAAAGGGACTCATTGGTCCCAGTTTGTAACATGGGAAGAGTAGAGATGCGAGAATTAAATGTGGAAATCATAAATGCTTCTCTAACAGGGTTATGCTGTTTAAATAACACAGAATGTCTTTTTCTTTCTCTTTAAAAGATTAAGTTTTTACTATTAATATTGTCATACATTTCTCAATATTTGAATATATTTTAACCATTTTATGTTCTGAATTTGTTTTTTGTCCTAGACATTTGACCCAAAATTTTACTTGCCTCTGTAATCTGAAAAAGGGGTTCTAGACTGTCCTACTTGCTGTCTCGTAGAGGCTGAGGCTTCATTTCTATGAGCAAAAAGCTCGTTTAGCAATGTAGTTATTTCAGTATTTATTTCTATTATGGAATCCCTGGGGTTCGGAATGTAACTTTGTACATGAAATATATATAAATATGTATATGAAACATGTATCAGGTCCAGTGTATTTTGTTTTTGCCTTTTCTAGGGGTCTGAACTTGGTGGTTATTTGAAAGTCCAGTAATCTTCCCATCAAACTCATTGTCATTTCTGAGGGACTATTGCCATTTGGCACTAGCTGCAGGTGAACCCTGGGGAGTAAACGAAGAACACGTCTGCTTGGCTCACTCGTTCACATGAGACATGAGTAATAGACAATAGGGCTTTCTAGAAATGTGGGTGTGCTGAGTAACCACCCACACATGACACTAAGGCATGCCATTTGCCAGATTGCTCAGGAATGAGAGGCAGGCTGCACTGGAGATGATAATGAGATGGTATGCTTATTTGTGCTCCATTTGTTTGGGAGAGCCCAAAAGGAAGGATGATTATAAAATGAATCATGTGGTAGCACCATGTGCGGTGTTTAGACCAATCCAGTATATTTTGTGTATAAGAAATGTGGGTTTCTGACGTGATCGTAAAAATCCTGATTGGCATGTTAATAGGACCGTTCAGTAGATGAAGGCACAGCCATCTATCCAGTGAGGTGGGACACTCTAGAATGTAACCAATAGCCTGGCTTCTTCCTACCTGATGGGACCCCTCAGTCCTCTGGGGCCTGCTGGCCAGGTCATTGTTTTGGAAACTGATTCATTCTCATCAACCTCCTTCGGTCCTCTCCCTGAACTGGCCGGTCTCTTGTGGGAAGAAGCTAGAGTCGCAACGCAGAATAGGAAGTGTTCATTTTAATTTTGTTGGAGGACCAGGACAGGAATGCTGTCCTCATGTCTGCACTGCAGCGTGGAGTCCCTCCCTCCCAGTGGTGAAGCTGCCTTTCACACCTTAGTAAAAAGATACCCTTGAGTCCCAGACTCGTCCTCAGCCACCCCCAGGCCTCTCCTGTTCAGTGTGGGCTTGAGAGCCCTGGCCATCCCAAAAGGCAAGAACCTCATTTTCAGCAGTGGCCAATTTGATGGAAAAGGTTTGGTAGTTAGGGGACTTTTCAGAATGCCTTAAATATTCGGTGAGGATACAGTTCATTTTTAAACTCATTTCCTGTAGACACATGGTGGTATAATGGCAAAGTGGGCTGTACACCCATTCAGGCTCTGCCCTGCGGTGACCCTCAGCAAGTCACTTCCACATAGCACCCCAGAATCACCCAGGAAGACATAAAACTCCACCCTGGACCTGCTGAATTGGATTCTATTATGGGGTCTGACCCCAGGCATCTGTGAAGTGTCATGGTAAGTGTGATGTGTAGCTTTGGTTGAGAAATACTACTTTTAACATCTTTGGACCTTAGTTCTCTCATGTGTTAAAGGAGGGTGGTTTATCCAGGTGATCTAAAAAAAAAATCCTAGCTCTAATCATCTCTGGTTTCGTGACCCTGGCTCTAAAGTGCCTCAGTGTGTTGTGTGCATAGATTGCAACCACACCTGCCTGCAGACCCAGGTTGCCCGGTCCCCCAGGAGGTCCAGGTATCTGGTGGCTGGGATTCGATTACTTAGAATTTCCAATTTATCAGAAAGACACTGTACAGAAGGAGCCAGGAGTTTAGCTCCTAGCTTTTATGTCCAAACTCCCATCCACACAATGAAAGTTGTTTATGATTGGATTTGAGGCCTCAAAGGAGAGGTGGACCAACAAGCCCCAGCTCAGGGCAGCCAGCTTTTCGTGTAAGAGCTGCAGTTCTCAACCCGGCCAGAAGAAGGCGGCCTGAATCACCCCCGAGCTAGTTCCAGAATGAAATTATTTCCTCCTTCCTCTCACCTGAGAACTATCAGACTACATGGAAAACGGTTACCCCAGGTGATTCTGATTCTTGCATTGGGAACAACTGCTTAAGAGAAACTGAAGAGCAGCCCAGCTGGATTCACAAACATCTGTTTTCCAGGAGCACAAAGCTTCGTTCGTGCTTAGCCGGTTATTAACCAGCACATGAGCTCATCCCAGGCTCAGCCTAATGCTCTTTCCTTTTTCATTCATGGATAATTGAAGCTTAGGGTACTTCAATCTTACTGCTGCATTAAAAGACTAAAGAGACTATTTCATCTCCCATTCTCTTGGTCAGGCTATTTTTTTCCTAGAAGAAAGCCATAACCCTTGAGTTGTTACCATGACTAGCTCACAGTCTTCCCAAAGTCTTTACTCCATAAATTCAAAGGTGATCGGTAGAGCAACCCTTTGGAGTGTATTATTATGGTGGTCCAGTGACCTACGGGCCTGATCGTAGGAGGGGCCTTGCCTCAGGTTCACACGAGGTTCAGGGTCCTCACTAGGGGGAGAATAACCAGATTCACTCAATACTACAGGCAACTAGGTGTGTGGGGGAAACTACTGGCTCTCTAAGCCAGGAGACCTGGGTTTGAATCCTGGGTCTACTGTTTTTCTGACCCTTCATTAGTCGCTGAACTATTCCACTTTCTTACATAAGGGCTCTTGTCATGAATAAGTGAAGTAATGATGTGATAGCCACCAGCACACCACCTGCTCCTAGCAGGAACTCAGCAGCAGACTTTGGAGCTTCCTAAGTGTCAGGTGTGTGAGGATGAGTAAGACACCCCCAAGGAGATTAGGAGACACAGAAATGGTGAAGTGTAATTAAGTATTAGGGCTGTAAGTTAGAAGCAGTAGTTAACATGTGATATTGCTATGGTGTCTGCTTTGGCTACTTGGTAATGTGGTAAAAACAAGGAAAACTCCTCCATGCTTATTTAATGCAGAATATTCTGATTTCCAGTGTATTGATCAGTGTTCTAGACTGTCTATTCTAAAAGAGCAGTGTTAGGAAGCAGAGGTGCCTTGGGCCTGTCTCACCTTTCAGGGAATTCCTTTCTCTGTTGCCCCCACCCTCCCCAATTTAAGGACAAGGAGTGTTCCTTGGAAATTCAACACAGGAGACACATATTCTCTTTAGCGTCTAAGAGTTCAGTTTACTCCTGTGCAGGCACAGTAAGGGACATAATTAAAGCATGAAAATATTGGTAAGATTGACATTTTTAGATGCCATTAAACATTTATTCCATGTCTGTTGCTCATAATGCTTTATGACAAGAATTAAACTCCCAATCACTGCATATAAATGGGTAGAGAATAGACATACAGAAAACTAAAGACAATATTAACATCCAATGCACAACTATGTGGACTGGTGGCAAGGAGGGTTTTATGCTTTCTGTATGATTAAAACATTTAGCATTACTCTGCCCAAAGAAAAATGCAAACCTCCATCTGTTACAATTGATGCAGGTGCAGATACCCAAAGAGGGTGGGCGGTCTTTCAAAAGCTTGAATTTCCTCATCAGGAGTATTATGATAATGACACCTGATTCACAGGATTGTTGGAAAGATTAAATGAGATCATGTACTACTCGACAGTAAACAAACGTGTGCCTTTCCCCCAGTGAGGCCTCAGTTTCTTCTCGGATTGTCCCTTTTTCATCAAGCTTCCTTTCCCTGACCGGCTAACCCAGACCAGTGACAAATCCCAGAGTGAGTTTTCAGCTGCTTGTCTTTAGCTCCATTTTAGCCTGTTGTGCTTCTGTGGAAAAAGGCTACATCTCTGTTTTGGAGAGTTTACCTGGAGCTGTCAGTAAGGAACTAGATGCAAGAGTTGGGCATTTTTCCCACCAGAAAAGACTCCAGTATTGATTCTAGAGGCATCTCAAGCATTAGTCTTCCCTGGAGGAGCCTGGCTGGAGATGAGCAAAGACTGGGCAGCTGCCTGTAGGCATCATTGGCTGACGTAGAGACCAGTCAGTCCTGGGCTTCACACAACTGAAGGTTTATCAGACCATCCGGCCCCATTTTAAGGCCATGTTTTTGGGGCCCTAAGAGACCCCCATGATATGAGCCTGAAGTCAGCATTGCAAAAACCAAGTCATGATACAGAAGAGAGTTCTAGCCCCTCCTTGCCACGGATCTGTCAAAAGCTGCTCTCTCTGGACCCTCAGCGTTCCTTACCTGTAAAACCTGGGGCTTGGCTCAGATGAGCTCTAAAGCTACTTCTAGGGTGACATTCTGCAAGCGTGGCTCATCTGTGTACGTGCAGTTTGGGTTGTATGGACTAATAACCTTCTTGCCCAGCCAGATCCTTAATGAAGAGAAGATCATATAGCCTGTACCACTTGGTACAAACCAACTACTTTGTCCCATGCACCAGCTTGTCCCTGAGGCTTCAAGGCATCACTTCCATGAATGGAAGGAATTTGTCTTCATTGGGAGGAGAGACACTGTTGGGTTCTCTGGGTCCTGCACGTCCTTTGGGTGTCCATCTTTTCCTTCTTGAACCTGGGAAGAAATCTCCAAAAGTCTACTTTAGGATGGCAGGTGAGCCTTGAGAGAGCTTCTGCCTAGGGCCCCACTGACATCACTTGGGGGGAGAAAGAGAAGGGCTGAGAGGTGACACTCGATTAGGGAGCTGCTTGGCTTCCCAATACCACTTCCAACCAGTGCAGAAAAGAGGTGGATGGGGACGGGAAATAACTTGTCTGGAAAGCTGCCTCGCTGGAGAAGCTGGGCTGGGCTCTGCTCCCTTTTGAACACAAGGTGGCGCTGTGTTGGTATCAGCACCCAAAGGCTGCCAGCCCCTCCCCCCTCCCCGCTCCAGTTCTTCTGCTGTCACTCCAGCAAGGCGGGTGCCTAGTGGGGGTCTGATTGAGCAGATGAGGTAAACTAGTTCTCTTTACTAACAAGCAAGCTGAGGCCCAGAGCTGCTGTTACCCAACAACAGGAATTGGACCAGCACTCTTGACTTGGTTCAATGCTCTTTCTACAAGGCTGCCTCTAGATTCTCGCAGCCCTGAGTTCTTTCATTCACCAGGGGCAGGGAAAATACCTTTCTCAGCCTCCCCACCCAGGCGGCCCAGGGACCCAAAGGGCAGGCAGGTGGTGCAGAGCCTGGGGCCACTGCTGAGGTGAGCAGGGCTTGATGGGGAGCCAGAGACACATCAGCCCAGGGGATTAAAGAAGGGGATTTTTGAAAGCCTCCCCACCCCCAATTTCTG